TGTATTATAAATGTTCCATTACCGAAAAAAGTAAAAATATCCGACAACTCTTGTTGACTGCCCGGACGATTTAGCTGCTGTGGGGGTATGTTTCGTTGCCTGGCAACCTATCTTTATGACTTGGAACAGCTAAATTCATGATACAGTATTAAAAGTTTTGTATACAAAACGTTAGCATGGGGCAGAACTTTATAAAAACCAAACAAATTCTAATGGTTTTCTGAGTTGTTGCTCTTAATCAGATTTTAGTGTATTATAAATGTTTCATTACTGAAAAAATAAAAAATAAACACTGGTCTGTACACATATAGCACGACGTTTCGACAAGTATCCTCTTATCGTTGTCGTTTTGTGCTTGATAACGATAAGGGGATACTTGTCGAAACGTCGTGCTATATGTGTACAAAACAGTGATTGTTTTTTCGATATAAATTGTGTTGTGTTTTTTTTTTCACAGTAGACTACACAAAGAACGGGGCTGTAGGGGGGCCTTTTTGCGATACTGCATGTAAGAGACGCTTTTAATACCCCGTGTTCGCCGTTTCAATGGACTGTAGTACGGTATGCGTACACACTAGAGCGAATGGGAACTAGAGAGGGATAGAGAGAGGGCTGTGATGCAATGAGACGCCCCTTGAGAGAGAGAGAGAGAGAGAAGGAGCGATGGGTGGGGGGGCTGAGAGCGAGAAAGAGAGTAAGAGAGATCCGCATTGTAACTTAAAGATAGGGCTATAGAGAGCTAGAGAGGGGGGGGGGTAGTTAAAGAGGTGGGCTAGGGACAGAGAACTAGCGGGAGTGAGGGCTAGAGAGAGCGAACTAGAGAGGACGAGGGCTAGATAGAGAGAGGACAAGAGCTAGAGAGCGAGCTTTAGAGTGGAGTAGAGAGAGAGAGAGAGGGGTGGGGGGCTGAGAGCGAGAAAGAGAGATCCACATTGTAACTTAGAGAGACAGGGCTATAGAGAGGGAGAGGGGGGGTAGCTAGAGAGAGCGAACTAGAGAGGACGAGGGCTATAGTGAGAGGACAAGAGCTAGAGAGCGAGCTTAAGAGTAGAGAGAGAGAGAGATGGGGATTAACGTCCACTTGGTTCAATTTTACTTCAATAATTCGCTTGCGCGTAGGGGTCTTTTATCAGTGGGGAAACCGGAGGACCCGGGGAAAACCCACGAGGTTGGACAGGCGATCATACCCCTTGTCACGTACAACCGGGGAATCGAAATTACGCCAGTTGTTTCAGTGACAGACCTTATGATACAGCGCGCACAAGCTAACAAGATGGAAAGAGCTTGAGAAAGAGAGAGATGGTGAGAGCTAGAGAGCGTAAGATAGAGAGATACCTAGAGAGATAGCGACACGGAAAGTGAGAGCTACAGAATGGGCTAGTGGGGGAGGGACTTAAGAGAACTATCGGTTGGGGGAGAGCGAGCTAGAGGGAGAGAGCTAGCTAGAGGGCGAGTGGGGAGGTCAAAAAGCGCTAGAGAGTTGGCTGCCAAGGGATGAGACTTGTCCCTCGAGAAGAGAGAGAGAGAAGGGTGGGGCTACAGAGAACAAGCTAAGGGGGGATTTAGGGAGTTAGCTCGCAAAAGAAAGAGGTGAGGGAGAGCTTGACCTCGAGGGAGAACAAGCTAGAGAGAAGGGTGAGAGCTAGAGAGTAAGCTTAGACTATTAGAGAGAGATAGAAAGAAAGAGAGAGAATCCACAAGATGAAGAACTAGAGAAAGAGAGCAAGAAAGATCGGGAGAGAGGGCGTGAGCTAGAGAGAAAGCTAGAGCGCGTGAGATAGAGACCTAGGAAGATAGCGAGACAGAAGGCGAGAGCTAGAGATGGAGAGAGTGAGGGGCGTTAGAGAGAGATAGTGATAAGCCTGCGATGTGATGATACTATCAATCTACTGTGAGAAGGTTAGAGAGAGATCGAGAGAGAGAATGAGCTAAAGGCTGAGGGTGGTATGGAGGGAGCTAGCAATGGTAGGGAGTAGCGATAGAGAAGGGAGAGCAGGGGGGGGGGGGCACAGCAAGGGAGAGTGGGGACTAGAGCGAGATAACAAGTGGGCGAGATAGAGAGGTGAAGAGAGTGAGATAGAGAGAAGGTTGTACGATACGGTGAGGCTTGACAGGGAGGGTGCGCGCGAGAGCCAGAGAAAGGTATCAAGATTACGGGAGGGAAGAGGGGGCTGGGGTTAGAGAGGGGTGTAACATCCACTGAACACAAACTAGGCCATAATTTTACTTCAATAATTTGCTTGCGCGTAGGGGTCTGTATCAATGAAAGAAAGTCGGAGAAAACCCAACGAGGTTGAGCAGGCTACCATACTGTTAACCATGCCACTTAACTCAATTACAGACCTTGAGATCTAAAGCGTACCCGTAAGACCAATATAACTTCCACCCCATCGTTAAATCACATAAGGTCGTAAACAGCAATAAGTATGTATCTTTGGTTATAGGTAGAGAGTAGAAAAAGGTCGTATGTGACTTTTCCGAGTTACCACACCTGATAACTGAAAACTTTATATTGCATTTCTAGCTATTCCCAATCATAACATACTGTACAAAATATGCGAAAAAACAATAAATAAACAATTTTACAGGATCATTTTCAAACCTTTAAACTCGATTTTCTTGAAAAGTGAAAAATGTCACTTACGACCTTTTTCCCTCTAAGGGGACGAATTATATCATCTTGTCGTTCTTCGTAACACCCCCGCTAATCCCGTGAATAATATTTAATTAACTGGACCCCTCCCCCCTCTGATCAGGTAAAAAAAAATGTGAAAATAACAAACCCGGGATTATCTGTTAATTAATCTTTTGTTTTATTAAACGACAAATCACACGTAATGAAACATTATTTGATAATGATAGAATAAACTAAAAGTACCGAAAAAGTCAAGTTTTGTCACGATCATCTAGTATCTCCTTTCCATTGTCACTTTATTGCTAAACAGACGTTTTAGCGCCTCCTATAATTAGTGCTGGCGAAAAATATCGATATAGCCAATAATCGTCAGCGACTATTCAGTTCTTGATATCGATACTCGTATAAAAAATAAAGGAGCTTCAATATACAAAGGAGCTTCAATAAAATGAAATTAACAGAATGTTTTGTGTCAAATAATCGCCGTCATATCATTCAAAACACACTAAAACTAAAAACAAACACACTAGACGATGGTACAACCACCGCGCCGGTAATTTTGCTGGTCGTTTACAACAATGACAATGCATAATTAATTAATTGTTCGGGGGAAATAACTTTATTGCTAAACAGACGTTTTAGCGCCTCCTATAATTAGTGCTGGCGAAAAATATCGATATAGCCAATAATCGTCAGCGACTATTCAGTTCTTGATATCGATACTCGTATAAAAAATAAAGGAGCTTCAATATACAAAGGAGCTTCAATAAAATGAAATTAACAGAATGTTTTGTGTCAAATAATTCAGAAGCCTATTGAATTTCAGCATTTTCCGTTAATTACGTCTAGAGTTATGGTCCTTGTTTCACTTTATTGATCCTGTGAACGCTCTAACGTCAAAAGTTATCATTCGATCTTTCTGAAAATTATATGCATTATTTAAATTAGTGAGACGAAAAAGCCTATTGAATTTCAGCAATTTCCGTTAATTACGTCTAGAGTTATGGCCCTTGTTTCACTTTATTGAACCTTGTGAACGCTCCATCACCAAAAGTTATCACCGAATCTTTGTGAAATGTATATGCATTATTTAGATTAGTGAAACGAAAAAGCCTATTGAATTTCAGCAATTTCCGTTTATTACGTCTAGAGTTATGGCCCTTGTTTCATTTTATTGATCCTTGTGAACGCTCTAACGCCAAAAGTTATCACCCAATCTTTGTGAAATTTATATGCATGATTTAAATTAGTGAAACGAAAAAGCCTATTGAATTTCAGCAATTTACAATAATTACTTCTAGAGTTATTGCCCTTGTTTCATTTTGTTAAACCTTGTTAATGCTCGATTGATGAAAGTTATCATCCGATATGTATGAAATTTATATGCATTATTTAAATTAGTAAAACGAAAAAGCCTGTCAAATTTCAACAATTTCTGTAGATTACTTCCAGAGTTGTGACCCTTGTTTCAGTTTGTAGAACCTTGTAAACCCTCAAAACGACAAAATTTATAATCTGATTTGTATGGAATTGTCTTGTAAAGACCCCCAATTACCGACAAAGGAATAAATATTCGACAACCCTTGTCGACCGCTCGGACGATTTAGCTGCTGTGGGCGTATGTTTTGTTGCCTGGCAACCTATCTTATAAATAATTAATTCCCCTTTGACATACTAGAGTTATTTCCCTGTTTTGATGTTGTGCTATTGTGTAACTAAGCGAGGTAAAACTATTGTCTTTTGTATTAACCCTGAAGACGCTGTAAGACCGAAAGATCTTGGCACTAATGTAAAAGTTACTTAAAGGAGCTAAATCGCTAATATTTGGGACCTAGAAAATGACAAAAATGGGTCGCAACGCATATAATAATGTAATATGAATGTATATAAACTGATTTACATTCAATCGTTTCTGTTTTTACTGTAATTTCTAATCAGTTATGTTCGGCGAAATACGCTAGAAGTCTCATGTAAATCGCAATCTTTAGCATCTGTTTTTTCCAGTCTACACCGATGGTATTTATTGTGCATGCTCTTCAGATAAGAATATAGCGTCACCATTTGACATGACTTGTGGAATATGTCTAGCCCTTTTCTTTGAGTCCTGTGTTCCAAATTGTGGTACACGATTCGTGTACCAATGGTAAAATGTTTATTTTGTCTTGAATATTGGATATCAGAAGCCCATCTTTTCACTGTAAGATCACAAGACCAATGTTGATTTGAACTGACAAATAATTCGTGTTTTCAATGTCGGAAGATTTTTGATGATATTGAGTTAGACTTAGCTACTTTAAAAATAGATTATTTCATCCAAAAATTAGTATTTTTTGGTATATAGCATTTAGATGTATTTATGTTGTAGGAAATGATGGTTATCGTGGTGGTGGTAATAGAGGATATAATAGAGATAATAATTATAGAGGTAGAAATGGACGAGGTGGAACAGATTCAGCAAATCAAAACGGATATAGTCGAAGTAGAGGGGGGAGAGGTGTGTATACTTTACCGTTAATGGACGCTAACCAAAATGACGTAAACTTTATGTAAATCTAAAAATGTTAACTTTTGGCATGAACCCTTTCATTGCGTCTACCCGGTAGTACCGGGTATTATAAAATGTTGTTAAAATGCGCGTACCCGGTATTACTGGGAACTCAGTATGGCCCCGCTAAAATTAGCACCGTAGCTGCAAGTGCCATCTATTGTATTTTCTATACACTAGAACATATTTTCACATGTTTCAAGCGGCAAACCGTAAAATGGCGGAGTGCGTAGTGACAACGTAGACGATACAATCTTGGCAAAGTCGTGAATGACATCTTCATTGACCAAGACAGTGTGGACAATTTCGAGGCAGGTACTGATACACATAATTCTTTCCAGTTAGTTGATAATAATAGCTAGGACAGTGATTGGTAGTATGAAGTGCGTGATTTGTTGCGCGACATTCCGCCTATGGCTATGTCTCCCGTGAATATGATAGCCCTATGTAGTATGTCTTCAGTAGATTCTGATGGTAATTCTGATGTTGATAATAATGCTTGCCTGCTGGATCGTAAAACATCTAGGCAATTCCCGAGTCCCGAACGTGTAGATCTATTGACTGACTATAGTGATAATGATATGGGACTTGAGGATGAAAGTGAAAGTAAAAACAAGGTATTGCAATCCGCACGTGGTCATGGCAGCGATAGACGTGGTGCGCGGGTTAGTGGTGGCATTGCTCATGGCTGCTGTTGTTGATATTTTTATTCATTTTATATATCTTTTTTTGTTCATTTTTATACGCCCACATTTTCATGTGAAACTTCCAATCAGTAGAAACAGGAAACACAAACCAAATACAGACGGTTTGATGGGATCAATTTTGACTGAGTCAAAATGATGCATTTGATATTCAGATAAGTTGATATAAAATAATTAATAGAATACAATATCAAAAAACCATGGTTTTATCCAACGTTTCGTCAGTAAAAATACTAACTTCTTCAGGGATGAAGAATTAAATTCAAAATGACTAGAAGTCAGTTATGACATCATAGGAAGTTATGACATCGTGGGAGTGATGACGTCATAGACTTAGATACATAACGTGAAAGGTTAGCTTAACTAAAACTTAGGTAAAATTTTACAAGTTAAGAAAACTTATGCATGATTATGAATGATTTTGAAACCCCCTGGATTTAACTCATTTAAACCGTTAGGCCAAACTGAATCAAGTTTATGAATCCACAGACTTTCTGCTGTGTTCAATTTTTTCTGATCTTTATCAGGAATTTTTTGTACTATGGTACACACGAAATCATGACCTGGTATATTAAAATGGGAGGTTACATGGGGGGAATGGCCAGGTTTTTTAAGCTTTATATTACTTCTGTGCTTATTAAGTCGAGTGCTGAAAGGAGTAATGGTTTGGCCTACATATTGCATATTACAGGTTTTACATGTTAAACAATATACAACATAAGAACTGGCACAGTTGACAGTCTCTAATCTTGAATGATTTCATGTCTTTACTGGTTACTTCTTGACTATTACACATAGTCTCGCATGATTTGCATAAATTTTCGTAAACAAGGTTGACATCTGTATGAAATTTTGTCCTTAATATGCTTATTACTAGTGTAAGAAGTTCTCAACTTATTTTCTTTCAAGATATTGCCAATAGTGTGGTTCTTCCTCTCTGCTATTATTATTTTGCTGCTATTCATAACTTTCGTCATACGTGAACTTGTGTCTAAAATACTTCGGTCTTTAATCATTTGGTGAAGGTGAGGTTGTCTAGGGTCAAAGGTAGTTGTCCATGGAATAATGTTCACATTAGTATCAGTCTTGGATTGGTAGGTCAATGATTCAGTCCTGGTCTTCTGATCTGCGCGTTTAAATGCCTTTAGAATAATTTTCTTGGGATATCCGGATTGTTTAAGAAAAAGCCTCAGAAATGAATCCATCAACTTCTACAAAACCCAAATTATTGACATTAGGAATAATTTAGTCTCAGCCAAAGTCAGATTACAACAGCTACTGCCCCCTGAAGATTTCAAATTACAACTAGAAAAAATTGAATACAGTTGCCAGAGATTTAACCATTCCATACAACAAAATCATCAAAAAAAACTCTTCTCTTAAACACTTTGAAGATTGCCAACTACACAACATCAACAGCAAAAAGTTGTGTTCCAGTGAGGAAAAAGAAGAAAAATCGCAGATTCAAGAAAATAAAAGACAAAGAACATGTTTCCCAAAATTTCATCTACAATGTAAGTTCTAGACAGTTAGAACCTGCTGAAGTAAAACTTTTAAATAGAGGACTATCATTCTGTCCAGTACCACGTAAATATGACCAAATTAGAGAACTTCATGACTTAAGAGCATTTCATCAAAGACTAAGACTTTCCGAGTTCTTTTTTGAAAAACCATCAAAGCAAATCTTACCTAAATCACTGTATATCAAGAGTGAATGGTCACCACCTTGTGGAAGGGATGAAGCTCTGGAGCTCCACTGTACCAACCAGTATCAAACAATAAAAAACTACACAGAAAATAAAGTACGAGATAATTTAACTCACGAAGAGAGGAAAGCCTCATAAAGTTTGAAGCATGACCCTAATATTATCATTGGTGAAGCTGATGAAGGAGGTGGTATTGTCATCTGGAATAAAGAAGACTATGTTAAAGAATGTATGAAACATCTAGAAGATAACTCTGTGTATGAGAAAGTTAGTAGAGACAATTCAAGCAAGATTCATGGACAATTGACAAAATTAGTGACTGGCCTTAAAATTCCGAAAATGAATGGAAAGTTATCTTGGACAGACCTGTTGATAAACCAGCCCATTTCTACATTTTAGGAAAAGTTCATAAAGTTCCCAATCCTACTGATATACCACCAGGAAGACCCATATGTAGCCAAGTTACAGCACCTATTCGTAGAGCTTCTTCTTGGCTTTACTGGAAATTACAACCGGTGGCACAGCTTTACTGCCCTGAATTAGTTAAAGACACCACTCAATTCCTTCAAAAGATAGAAGCTATAAACAGCAAATTTATTCCTATGAATGGTAAGCTTATGACTCTTGATGTTATCAGTTAATATATCCGAATATTGTTATTTCTGAAGGTTTAGAAGCACTGAAACATGCATTATGTGAAACTAAATTTATGACTAATGAAGATTCGGAATCAATTCTACAAATAGCAGATTTTGTTCTTCACAACAATAAATTTGAATTTTCTGGTATGTTTTATAGACAGATATCGGGGACTGCCATGGGAACTCCGTTTGCTGTGACATATGCTAACATTTATATGTCATACTGGATGAAAAACTACTATGAACCATTACCTAATAAACCAGATATTTCATGCAGATTCATTGATGATATTTGGGCTTTATCTTTTCTCCCACTAGAAGAATGTAATAATTTTGTTTCAAAACTAAACCAACAACATCCAAAGATCAAATTTACTGTAGATATAAATAGTAACTCAGTTAATTTCCTAGATGTAAAAGTTGTCAAAGAAAAAGAAAAGTTAGAGACAAATCTATATTCCAAGAGAACAGATTGCCATCATTATCTTCCTCCATCAAGTTGTCATCCCAAACACACCTTTAATGCTATCCCTTACAGTGGTGCTCTACGTATAAAACTAATTTGTAGTAAAGATAGCTGGACCAAATCAAACCTAAAAAATTTTGGATCCTATCTTAAACAATCCGAATATCCCAAGAAAATTATTCTAAAGGCATTTAAACACGCAGATCAGAAGACCAGGACTGAATTATTGACCTACTAATCCGAGACTGATACTAATGTGAACATTATTCCATGGACAACTACCTTTGACCCTAGACAACCTCACCTTCACCAAATGATTAAAGACCAAAGTATTTTAGACACAAGTTCACGTATGACGAAAATTATGAATAGCAGCAAAATAATAATAGCAGAGAGGAAGAACCACACTATTGGCAATATCTTGAAAGAAAAATAAGTTCAAAACTTCTGACACTAGTAATAAGCATATTAAGGACAAAATTTCATACGAATGTCAACCTTGTTTACGAAAATTATGCAAATCATGCAAGGCTATGTGTAATAATCAAGAAGTAACCAGTAAAGACATGAAATCATTCAAGATTAGAGACTCTGTCAACTGTGCCAGTTCTTATGTTGTATATTGTTTAACATGTAAAACCTGTAGTATGCAATATGTAGGCCAAACCATTACTCCTTTCAGCACTCGACTTAATAAGCACAGAAGTAATATAAAGCTTAAAAAACCTGGCCATTCCCCCCATGTAACCTCCCATTTTAATATACCAGGTCATGATTTCGTGTGTACCATAGTACAAAAAATTCCTGATAAAGATCAGAAAAAACTGAACACAGCAGAAAGTCTGTGGATTCATAGACTTGATTCAGTTTGCCCTAACGGTTTAAATGAGTTAAATCCAGGGGGTTTCAAAATCATTCATAATCATGCATAAGTTTTCCTAACTTGTAAAATTTTATGGATTATGGCCCCTGATTGTACGAAAAATCGTGTTTTTAGCTTGTGGACCCTATAGAGGTCATAATTTTTATCCGATTTTAAAAACCGTATTATTATATCACTGTTACACCCTAAGGACAGTTGAGTTCGAATTTCGTGAATATCGGCCCAAAATTGACAGACAAAATGGCCACCGTTCTCAAAAAGCGTAAAAATATGGTATATCAAGGTTGTGGACCCAATAGAGGTCACAATTTTTATCCGATTTTTAAAAAAACCTATTATTATATCACCGTTACACCATAAGGACGGCTGAGTTCGAATTTCATGAAAATCAGCCCAAAATTGACAGACAAAATGGCCGCTGTTCGTTCTCAAATAGCGTAAAAATATGGTATATCAAGGTTGTGGACCTAATAGAGGTCACAATTTTTATCCAATTTTGTTGAAACTTGAAATGTAAGTTTATAACTGAAGGATCTCGGGTTCCTTTCG